ATGCAAAAGGAAATCACTGCTCTTGCTCCCTCGACCATCAAGATCAAGATCATTGCTCCACCCGAGAGGAAGTACTCCGTATGGATCGGTGGTTCCATCCTGGCTTCCCTGTCCACCTTCCAACAGATGTGGATCTCCAAACAGGAGTATGACGAGTCCGGCCCCGGCATTGTCCACCGCAAATGTTTCTAAATGCGTCGTTAAGTCATCAATTCGACGATGCTTTTTTCAAAAGAACATCTTTCTACCTCGAAGAGAACACGCAACAATATGTTGTTCTGCTCCGAGCAATCAAGCTGCTACGAAAAAACATCATCAGAGCACCATCATCGACTTTCAGTCATTGGATCTCATCAAATTGTCATTGTCTTGCTTGTCGTTGCGTGAACAACGACGACTTGGCTAATCATCTCTTGTCACTTAAAAATTGTACGTGACATCACGTCATTACTCACTTGGCGGTATCATCACGGCCGAGGTAGCGGTTGGCGAGTTTTCGTGTCGCAGGACCTCGCCTATGGTGGCCTGGACGTTGCTGAGCAAAAAAATCCTCGCACGTATAAAATTCAAATGCACGTAAAGAAAATCCAAATGCATCTTTCGATTACGAAAGGGACATTCTTGGATGGACAGAAGAAAACGTGGATTTTGCCGGCTTTTGCTTGTCAACGAGTTTCGAGACTACTTTAGGAAGGTTGTGCTCTTTTACTGTCGCGCGAACGTCTTTAACCACCGTTATAGAAATTAATCATCTATACGTTCTATTATGTACGACTATATAGTTTGCTAATCAAAGCAAGCAACTTTAAGTTCTATCAACATACTTCTATACTGTAATTTATTTTGTAAATATTATACGCTATAATGTTATTATACGATGTCAAACTCAAATACACATAATATCACACTACCAGTGTTATACAATCTTTTTTATATATTTACCTTATAAACTCCGTGTTTGAATTATTTCTTCTATTTCCTTGGCATCTTCTTGGCGAAACATTATCAAGTTCCTTGTGATCGTCCTCAATCTTCAATTCTTCTTAAGAGATCTTCGTTCTATACTGCAAAAAACATGTTAATTATATAGCAAGAGTACGCAAAGTTTAAAATAAATTTGTTAAAAAACGTTGGTTTTATTTTATCAAACATAAATGCATTTATTAAGAGAGAAGTAAAACTTTTTTAGATATAAGTATTTAAAGTCAATTCACGCGAATATGTAAAAAAGATTTCTTTCTATTTTTCATCTTCTTTAAGATTTTACTTAAATAAATGTTGAGAATGAAAGAAAGAACTCTTGTGCCTTATTCACTTCACAATCTGTCTCAAACTTTATAACAATAAACGAAATTTTAGCTGAGTGTTTTAACGTTTTGGGAGTATAATCCTTTCGATTTCGCGTCCAAATTTGTCTTCGCAGAGGAGTAGCGGCGATCGTAATTTCAAAATAGCCCTTATTGATACGTGCATGTGTGCAATCGCGGTAAGTAGTAACCTTGGTCCAAAATATGACACTATAACCCTTGTTATAAACCAATTTTCCACTATGTAATTTTTTCTCTTTTCCGTGCCAAACTCTGCGTAATGAGAATTTTGCTTCCACGAAAGTCGAGTTTGCTAAACTTAATTATTCGCGCAAAGAAACTTATGAATTTACTCTCCAAACTCCAAGAATTATTATTATCTTGCAGTTATCACATCCTTTCTAGAAGTCTTTTGTAAGAAGGATCCGTAAGCGCGGATCTTGATTCTAGTGATATTTAAGGACGAGAATTTTCGCAATAAAAGCTCTCACAAAGAAGCTAGCTTCAGTTTATTTCGGTCGCATCGCGTAATCACAAAATATTTTCGCCTGTATCTTGATTCTTATTTCTTTCTCGATCTCTTCCGCCTCCTAGTCATTCATACGTGTTTAATGCACTCGTTTGAATAAACACTTCTACACGAAAGTTATGTACAAATTATTGCGATTTGAAATTAAATTTATTATAAGAAAATAAATATACAATTAGAATTTAAAATGCCGAACACACAATGTGAGATCTTGAAAGAAGAAAATTCATGAACTATACCAAAAACCTCGATGTCTATTTTAGAAAACTACGTTTAAAAAAAGATATAAAGAAAGCTTACACATATTGCATGAGTCTTTCAACAAACACATTTCTGTGAAGTTTACTTTCATAAAACCAAACCAGATCTGTCCAAATCAAGCGTACGAGAATATTTTTACATGAAATATTTTGCTCGGTACGTGTGCAGAAACGCAATACAAAGACTGAAATTATTACAAAGACAAGAATTAAGTAACTCGGAGAGGACCGTAATGCCGAAGCGATCGGTATGTATTTGAAAGTAACGTGGGAATGCGAAGTATTTCCAAAGCGTGTTTCGTCGATCCGCTTAGGGGCTGCGACCGCCTAGTTCGGCGAGCATTGCGACGCCCCGCGAGGCGATGCCTTTTTCGTGCCTGTCGGACACGCACCATCCTACGAAAATGCGGGGGCGTTGAGACGAGAGCATATAATCGACGTCGCGACGCCGCCGAGGCACAGACGCCGCTCCACCTCTGTCCCGTGCACGGTACGTAGACACAGTAGTATTTCCGCAAGAATTTCCGTCAGAGTCCTTTTCTCCTCTCGGGAATACGGGTTGCTCCGTTTGCTTCCGCGTCGCCTTATCTCGAGACAGTTTACGTGTTGTTGATATGACTTGCGAGTCGAAGTGATAAACGCTGCTGCGCCATTAGGATTATCCGAGACAATCAAGAATCTCGTTCCAGACAGAGAGTAACAGCTTACACTTTACTATTTTTATTTATATATTCAGTATTCTCAAGTTTTATAAGTTCCGAACTTTATCAAGTAATTTTTAAAGTTCCAAAGTTCCAAAGTTTAGAATATATAAATGGATGGATTATTGTTATACGAATGAATTAATTATTATTTATAGAACATAACATTCTTGCTTGTTTTGTTTTTAGTTCATTTTCACTCATTTTTTAAATAAAAATAAATCAATAAAGATATTAAAATAATATAATTAAACCACTTAAGATATTAAAATAGTTTTAAATGTCGATGATAAGACACTTAACTTTTAATTAAACTGTTCTTAATTACTTAGATTAGTAACATATATATTTCTTATTATTTTTCTTTAATTCATAAATAAAATCTGAATGAATTGAGTTTGGAAAAATTTAGCTGTTGCTTATAAATTACGATATTAAAGATTATACATTTTTATTTCTAACATGTTTATATTTTTTAAGTTATTATATATACTTGCCTAAGAGAAGCGTTCGATTCATTGTCGAATTCTCGGAAGAAGTTCAAGTTCGCAGCGTATCATTGTATCCATTGAGATTGATTCTTGGCGCATCATCAAACTGCTCACATAATTGTTGAATAGCTGTATTCGTCTTTCATTCGATAAGCCAAAAAGCAACCCCTGTTCCAAATTAATTTTAATTTTTGAATATAAAGTACACACATCTGTTTCTATCTATCTATCTATCTATTTCTCTCTCTCTAATTGTATCAATTTTTATAGTAGTTAAAAGTAATAGTATATAAATTTTCAGAAAGCATTACATAAACAACTAATCAGATCAAAATTAAAATAAAAAATTTTTATCAAAATTAGTATGATTTAAAAACGTGTTTTAAATTACTTAACATTTAATTTACTCGCTTTAAATTTATCTGACAAACTATAAAAGTTACAAATTGTGTGAAGTACATGTAAGTAGACAAAGTTCACCGATCTTTCAATGTCCATAAAAGGATCTCACTCTTGCGGAACGCGCACTTTCTCTATTTCTATTCTCCTATAATAAGATCATTTCTAAAATTACTCTTCTAAAGATTAATTTTCTTAATACTCTTTAATTTTAAACTTTGTTTAATAACCTTTAGTTTTAGTTATAATGCTTTTAAGAATTAGAACTAAAACTAACAAGAGCAAGTTCAAAATTTGTATTAATGTTAATACTAATGTATTAATATTAATACAGTTGCTGATCATAAAAGCAGCGCGTAGTGCAGAACGAGTGATCCCTTTATGGTCGCGTTCATAGACGCATAGCCGAGGTCTACGGCCGTGCAGACACGTTAGTCCTTTTCCGCGAGCAGACATAATTTTGGCATGCTCACCGTTGGCCTCGCGGCGGGGCGTTATGTTTTACCCGTCGTCGTCGTCGTCGTCTTCGGCTGCGGCGGCGACGGCGGCGGCGGCGGCGTCAGCCACCATAATCGTCGCTTGAACTTATTAGGGAGCGTCCGCCGTACGTCTAAAGTTAGCGACGCGTCGAGCGAAAATAGCGCCGAGACGCTGGGGCTGCTTTGCCTATCGCTTTATAGGCAACTGGGTCAATTCTAGCTTCGCGCAATGTCCGCCTGGGAATTTTATCGAAGAACCTGCGAAATTCATGTCTATTATCAAATATATAAATTATATATTTTCGATAACTTATTTCTAACGTTTTTTAAAAGTTTTTAAATGCTTCCTATCTTTGTTCTCCTTTTAGAAAACGTTTTTAAATAATTTTAAATAATTTAAGTGTTCTCTCGAAGTTAATATACTCAAGCTTGTATGCGTTTTATTTGATAATAAAATAAAACAATAAAAATTTGTATTCTCTTCACGCAGATTTGGCGTAAATTATATACTTTCACTATATCTTCTTATCTTAACATTATTATTATTTACATAAAAAAAGCAATACTATTTATAAATATATAACATTGGCAAAATTATTTTTAAATTAGTTTTTGTATGTTATTGATAAAACTCGGTTATTACTGAACAAAAGAATATTAGTCAAAATTTAAATTAGTGATATCAAAACTACAAATAGAAATAAACTTTTTACGCAATTATTATCTAGATTATTAGCAAAGATAACAGAAACATCACGATTATTGCAGAGAGTTAAACCCGAAGAAAAGCCACAATGTGTGACGACGAAGTAGCTGCCCTTGTTGTAGACAATGGTTCCGGCATGTGCAAAGCCGGTTTCGCCGGAGACGACGCTCCTCGCGCCGTCTTCCCCTCGATCGTCGGTCGCCCTAGACATCAGGGTGTGATGGTCGGTATGGGTCAGAAAGACAGCTACGTGGGTGACGAAGCTCAGAGCAAGAGAGGTATCCTGACATTGAAATACCCGATCGAGCACGGTATTATCACCAACTGGGATGATATGGAGAAGATTTGGCATCACACTTTCTACAATGAACTTCGAGTCGCTCCTGAAGAACATCCTGTTCTACTCACAGAAGCGCCCCTCAACCCAAAAGCTAATCGTGAAAAGATGACGCAGATCATGTTCGAAACCTTCAACAGCCCCGCCATGTATGTCGCCATCCAAGCCGTCCTTTCACTGTACGCTTCCGGTCGTACCACCGGTATCGTCTTGGATTCCGGTGACGGTGTTTCTCACACCGTACCCATCTACGAAGGTTACGCTCTTCCTCATGCTATCCTCCGTCTGGATTTGGCCGGTCGCGATCTTACCGACTATCTCATGAAGATCCTGACTGAGAGAGGCTACAGCTTCACCACCACGGCTGAGCGAGAAATTGTCCGCGATATCAAGGAGAAACTGTGCTATGTCGCTTTGGACTTCGAACAGGAAATGGCTACCGCTGCCGCTAGCACATCTCTCGAGAAGAGCTACGAGTTGCCTGATGGTCAAGTCATTACCATTGGTAACGAAAGGTTCCGTACGCCCGAAGCTCTCTTCCAACCTTCCTTCCTGGGTATGGAATCCTGCGGTATTCACGAGACCGTCTACAACTCCATCATGAAGTGCGACGTCGATATCCGTAAGGATCTGTACGCCAACAACGTTCTGTCCGGAGGTACCACCATGTATCCCGGTATTGCCGATCGTATGCAAAAGGAAATCACTGCTCTTGCTCCCTCGACCATCAAGATCAAGATCATTGCTCCACCCGAGAGGAAGTACTCCGTATGGATCGGTGGTTCCATCCTGGCTTCCCTGTCCACCTTCCAACAGATGTGGATCTCCAAACAGGAGTACGACGAGTCCGGTCCCGGCATCGTCCACCGCAAGTGCTTCTAAGCAATTACGCTCGATGCTATTCACTATTATTATCGTTATTATTGCTACACCTTTCCCTAAGATGTACCGATCACTGCCGCATTGCTTCGTCTAGTTGGGTCTCCCTTAGTCGAATACAATTTATTGTCGTTATTATCGGTCCGTGGCGGCGAGTCTTTTTCCAACGACTATCACACATATACGTCATCTTTTGTATATAAGTTTACGTCTATGGAATAAATCAATCTTGTATTCTTAAATCCGTTTAATTCATAATGTTTCATTTTTTGATACCCTTATATTTGAATGAGTAGTAAGTAGAGTAATACTTCTCGTATTAAAAGAAATTATATGCATTTATAATTAAATAGTACAATTAGTCTAATATATATATATACACATATATGTATATATATGTATAATTAACTAATTAGTAAAGTGAGTTTAACGGCAAAGGATAATTTGTTAATTTCACGGTTTAACAGATTATCAAGTTCAGAAAAACATCAATATTAAACCTTATAATTAAATATGCGTTTATAAAATTTCTATAAAAGTGTGTATAAAAGTTTACGTTTTATAAATAGTATTAAAATTAAGATCACTATAAAACTGTACGTAAAAAAATTGATATGTAGAAGATGTGCGAAGTATTATTTCGGATTTATTCGGTAACCGTTCATTAAAGAAAAGCACAATCTATAAATAATGTCGTGTTGTATTGATTGATAAATGTAATTTGATATCAGTGTTTCTAATCTTGTTCACATACAGCTACGTGGTTTTTGAGCTCTTTTTTTGGCACTTTATGTATAGATTTGCAGAAAGATGTGTATGTAAATAAGTGTAGTATCATATTAGCAACCATAACAAACGCGATGATATTACATAAAACATGAAGATAGCACGGCCGATATTACATAAAACTTGACCGAGGATATCTCTCATATCTGGCAATACTCCAAAATCTATAAACATATTTTAATATTACGCATGTATTGTGTGTCTTTTTGACAGTATAATTATAGATTAAAATTTTATTGTCTGACCAGAAATACAACTAGGGAAAGGTGACTACATTTTGTCAATTATATACATTTAAAGTTCAAAAGTTCAACGCAAAATAACAACTATATGTGCGGTTATTATATATTTGTGTATAGTTGTTATAAAATAATAACTGTGTGTCAAATTATACACAAGATAGGTTGTTACATATGAAACATGCAATCGAGTTTTTTGCCGATAAATTGAGATTAGTCGAGGTACACAAGATATGTGTATCCTTAAAGTTTGTTTAATCGATGTCATTACTTTTTCTACTTAAGTTTTTTCAAGTTATCTACTTGAGGTTTTTCAAAGGAAAAGTAATGAAAACGTTTACCTCATCTGATGAGAACATCCAATTAGAATTTTTACACTTACATCTTGCGAGATTATTGCGATCGTAGTAATGCGAACGAGAGACCTTCGACAAAAGGATGCACCCTTTCAGGGTTGAAACTCGGCAATGTGAATCAGCACTAGCTACCGGTACCAGTATCTTTACTGGCGATGCAAAAAGGTAGAGGGGATTTTCGCGATGGCTCGAGCAAAATAGTCGCCCTGTGCGTCTGCCAATTATAGCAAATTACAAACTGCAATTAGTGAATAAGATCGTTTCTGCTAATGCACGGGCAATTGGTTTTTTTGCAAACCGATTTAATTAAATATTGCATTACATTACTGATGTTTCAAGAACAAAATTGGTCAAGGTAATAATGATCACCAAAAACGCAAAGATAAAAAAAGTTTTTTTCAAGAATTAATATACCGAAAAGATTTTCTAATCTTCTAAAGTTCAATTTTATAACAAGTTCTATTTTTTTAATTAAATATTTTCAAATCTTATACCGTCAATTTATTTTTTCGACTTGTTTTTCAAAAAGTTAATATTCTGAAATTTGTTTTCTGTAATTGTTGCTTGAATATCTTTTAGAACTTTTTTGTGTATGTTTTTTTTTAATTTTATTTCCTCTTTTGTCACAGGATTCTACAGTGTAATTCTTGTTCATTTTTCCAATCTTCATCTTTCAAGATTTCTTTGGATTTGCATCCCTTTGCCGAGGCTCACAACGACATCCGACGGCCCTGGCACGTAACGAGTCCTTATTTGGACCCGGGGACCGCTGGCCACCACCTCGTCGTTGTCGCAAGCACTCTCCGTTTTCCTCTATCTCTCCCTCTACTGGCGCTATTCTCTTTAGGGCGAACTAAGGACTAGGTTGATTCTAATGGGCGGCGCGGACTCCCGGCCCGATGTTTAACGCGGACAGCAGATTTCCATGTAAGGGGCGGACCGCTATTTTCGGCCGCAGACCGATATGGATAAAGGGACCCCACGGAGTCGACGGTGCGCCACTCGCTGCTCTCGCCGGTCTCTTGCACGACATACACGCGACCCTTGAACGACCATCGTCGATCTCGCCCTCGGCTCTTATATCAGTTTACGGTAAAATTCATCGTGCTGTTGATTTCAACAAAACGCGACTACTTCCTCGGCTCACACGCACCACGTTCAAGAATTTTCTTCGAATCAAGGTCTTCTTCGTCCAAGAAATTTTCGCAATCGCAAAAATTTCACCAGGATTTTTATTATTCGATCATATGTAGTGTTATTAGGATAAATAGTGCTCAAGTTAATTAAGTGAGTTTTTAGTTGTGAGTACAAGAGCGGTGAAAAGTTGATCAGATAATATTCCAAAAATCCTTGAAAGAAACTGTGCAAAATGAACCGAGAAGGGCTTGCGTAATTAAATATAAAGTGAAGTAGTGTTTCTGATGAATGCATCATAGTGGACGTAAAAATAGTGATAGTTACATAGTTAATTAACACTACTGCACTACTTATTTTAGAAATAAAACTCGATATACTTTTCATATTTTAAGAAATGCGGAAAAGTTTTTAATATTTTATATATTATTTCTTAAATTAACTTGTGGATCTGAAAATATTTATTAACGATATTTTGTTTTTATAATAACTAATCGTATAATAATTACCAATACCTTATGCCGAAATACTTCTTTACATATCTCATTTCCGCAGATAATAATATTAAAAGCCGACCAAGATGTGTGACGATGATGTTGCGGCACTAGTCGTGGACAATGGATCCGGTATGTGCAAGGCCGGATTTGCCGGAGACGATGCGCCGCGTGCCGTGTTTCCTAGCATTGTTGGTCGCCCTCGTCATCAGGTTTGTCCGTGTATAAGTTTGTTTTCATAAATCTATCAGTTACATAAAATTTATTATTTTATATTTTTATTTACATTCCCATTTTCGAATCTATTAAAGACTAACTCAATATTGTAGTTCTAAAAGTTCATTAACTTAGTTAAAACGAATATCCTTCGTCTTCTTGGTTTGAGCAAAGAAAAACGTACTATCCCGCTTACGTAAAATTTCGTTCTTTGCAGGGTGTGATGGTCGGTATGGGTCAAAAAGACAGCTATGTTGGTGACGAGGCGCAAAGCAAGAGAGGTATATTAACATTAAAGTATCCTATAGAACACGGTATTATCACCAATTGGGACGATATGGAAAAAATTTGGCATCATACTTTCTACAATGAATTGCGAGTCGCTCCTGAAGAACATCCTGTTCTTCTTACCGAAGCACCCCTTAATCCGAAAGCTAACCGTGAAAAAATGACGCAGATCATGTTCGAAACCTTCAACAGCCCCGCCATGTATGTCGCCATCCAGGCCGTCCTCTCACTGTACGCTTCCGGTCGTACCACCGGTATCGTCTTGGATTCCGGTGACGGTGTTTCTCACACCGTGCCGATCTATGAAGGTTACGCCCTTCCTCATGCCATTCTTCGTCTGGATTTGGCCGGTCGCGATCTCACCGACTATCTCATGAAGATCCTGACCGAAAGAGGCTACAGCTTCACCACCACGGCTGAGCGAGAAATCGTCCGCGACATCAAGGAGAAACTGTGCTATGTCGCCTTGGACTTCGAACAGGAAATGGCAACCGCTGCCGCCAGCACTTCTCTCGAAAAGAGCTACGAGTTGCCTGATGGTCAAGTCATCACTATCGGTAACGAGAGGTTCCGCTGCCCAGAAGCTCTCTTCCAACCTTCCTTCCTGGGTATGGAATCCTGCGGTATTCACGAGACCGTCTACAACTCCATCATGAAGTGCGACGTCGATATCCGTAAGGATCTGTACGCCAACACTGTCCTGTCTGGTGGTACCACCATGTATCCCGGTATTGCCGATCGTATGCAGAAAGAAATCACCGCCCTCGCTCCCTCGACTATTAAAATCAAGATCATTGCTCCACCTGAAAGAAAATATTCCGTATGGATCGGTGGTTCCATCCTGGCTTCCCTGTCCACCTTCCAACAGATGTGGATCTCCAAGCAGGAATACGACGAGTCCGGTCCTGGTATCGTTCATCGCAAATGTTTCTAAATATATCGTGCCAAGAATTGATCACAACTACCAGCACTACTATCTTTGTGACTCTTTTCTTCCTCTTTTATGTTTCTTTCTATATACACGGTTAAGTTTCGAATTACACTACGTCCATTACGAAATACAAAGATGCGAAAGAAGAGAAGGAAGAGAGCGATAAAGACAAAAACGGAGAAGAGAGAATGAGAGAAAAAGAAAGAAAGAGAGAGAGAGAGAGAGAGAGAGAAAAAAGACGAAATATGTAAAAGAAGATGAGCGCCAAATAAATCAATTAAGTGCCTTTACGCTACACATTTACCATATTGTATTATACTAGTTTATAACAACATGACTGTTTGTTTATGAGCGTTAACTTAATGATAATTTTCTCGGCCACTTAAATCAAATTTCTGAATTTTTCAATATATATCTAATATTTATATACGTAATTATACACACAAACATACACATTACATAAACACGTACTTAAGATCGCTCGCTGATGATCGCGTAAGTTTGATATGTGCAACGTCCATTTGATGATTATCGACAATAAAGAAAAATACGACCAGCTATATGTCGACGTCGGCTCATATTGTTGTCCGGCAAATTCATACGTATTATATCTTATTATTAATGATATTGAAAGAAAATAAAGCCGTATATTATATAATATTTTCATGTTGAAATTGCGTGTTTCTTACCGATGTGTCTCCCAGTAGTAATTTTCAAATCCTCCATCTCTCGTAATATCCGTTTGCTTTTTGATTATTTATTTAGACTGGAATATGTAAAATACGGCTATTACTCACAAACCTTTCTCCAGTCAAGCAAAATATCTTCAGTGATGACTATCCTGGTAGCGTTTTCACACCAGGTACGGTACGAGTTGAATCTCTCCTGAAGCAATTGATAAACGTCAATTTGCGCCGACTTATTCCGTCTCATTCTTTTCACCGTCTATTGTGACTGTCTCATTTGTATGTTTCACTTTTCTGCCACTTGGAAAACGAAGGCGCTATTAATCTTCGTTACACGGCGAAGCATTGGTCGCGTTCAACAAATTCAAATTTGAAACATCGCTTTGCGTTTCTTGCCTATATGATTGGCGCAATAACTTTTATATCTATATTAGATCTAAATAAATACACCAATCAGTAAGTGCAAAGCAATGAAACTCAACTGTCGAGTCCGCCAAACGCAATCATTGTGATAATAAGATAAAAATAGAGACACTTATTAATTCGTATATAATCGAAAGTGCGCTCTGCCGCGCGCGCATCGATTCGATACTTCGATTCTCGAAATTTCGATTCTCGAAATTCGCGCGCTTCGATAAACTGAGATTAACGGGCTTGTTGTGGCGGGCGCGCGACGCGTAGCAGAACTTCTCTTAAATTCGTCTCGTATTTTTCGCGATTATTGTTGTCTCTCGCGCAAATATCGGTAGTACGTGTGTGTCGCAAAGTGTCGGGCGTTCGCAGTGATACATAATTAACGTTGCGCACTCACTGGTAATGTTAATTGGCGAGTATTATGATGAAATTGTTTCGGCCGTTTATGCTCCCGCGAGACGGAACGAAATGGCCGACGCGAGAAAGACTTCATTCGAATTAATTCGCATTTTTCGCGATTATTATTGTCTCGCGCGTAAATAAATGAATGTCGTGAAGTATCGGACGTTCTCGTTGATATGTAATTAACATCACGCACTCGCTATAGTAACGGTAATCGATGAGTCTTAAAATTTTTAAACATAATGAATTTGTATTTTACTTTCTTACTTATGTTCTTTTATTCGTTGTTTCAGGATTGTTATGCAGATTTTCCGAGATATTTGCAACACCGGAGCTGATTTGGGAGAAGCTGGTTCGGAAAATCGGGTGCTGGCACGAAGGTACGCGTGTGTGTTTTATAGCCATTAAATTTAACGTTTTATGAACATTAAATTATTACTTTTCTTAATTATTTCTTATTCTTATTGAAATCACATATTTCATGATATTAAAAAAACTTTTACACTTGATATTTACAGTAGTAGAAAATTATTTGTTTTTACATCTAACAATAAGAAAATTGTATTTTTTTACAGAGTGGTGTTGTAGCAGAAGGTGGCCAGCGCTCGGTATGTACATTTTAGGGTTTTCTAGTAGTGTGAAATCAGTGCGAATCGCGTATAGAATTTTATTGTTGTTAATTGTAAAACATTCAGCATATAATTTCAGTCTCCAAATAAACCGAAGCATTCGTTCCGTTATAAAAGTAGTTTTTATTATCCGCGTTTTGCCGAATTTTTATATCGTAGTAAATTATCTGGTATAGTGATTAAAGTGTGGACCTTAGAAAAATGTAAAAGTGTTTGGACTTTAGTAAAATTTTTAATTGACGAACGTGTTTATATTTTGTGTGTGTGTATATTTCGCGTCTTCTCCGCGTCGCGAGTGAAAAAGTACTACGACTACATGGGACGATGTAAAGACCACTTTCGAGGGAGACTGAGGATTTCAGAAGAAGATACATCGATGGACAACGAAGGGACCGCACAAACATGAGTCACAAAATCAAACTTTATCACTTGTTCTTTTTAGCTACTTCTTTTTATCTGTATTATAAATTTTGTCTAGTTTTATTTTATTGTATTGTAAAGTATCAAAGCAAATTATAGACTTGAAACTTATTTCTTCACTTCTTTTTTACGAGATTTTATTACTTTTATTAATGCTGAGTCTACATGTAAAGAATTTATTTATATATATTTTCTATAAAATTACATATGTATATATACACTCACAAATGTAGCTAAAAGGAACAATTTTTATATATTGCTTGCGTAATGTCCGTATATATCAGTCGCACTGATTTCCAATGGCGCAAAAGAAGATATTCATATATTGAGACACAATTTTCTTTTGTTTATCTTTACATAAATATGGTGAAATGTGTAAAATTATAAACACATGGGGGGATACGCGAAATGGAACCAAATAACTCGTGCACATAGCATAAAACCAAATCAATTGGTAAAATATTTTTATTTAATGGGAGGATTGGTTAGTGTAGTTTATGTGCACAAAATATAAACATTAGAATTCGGAGACGAAAAATCTTGGATGGGAACACGTAAAATAAGTTCAAGGTTATTTTCAGATTTCTTCCTACTACAAGTCTACACGTTAATGTCTAAAGCAATTTATTAACAAGTAAATACATTATATTTAATGTAAGAAGTATTGTGCCTATGCATGTTATTATAATCACAGCAGCTTCTCTCGTATTTTTATTATGCGGCATGAAATTCAGTAAATAAAGTACAATTATATTTATAATATGTTGACCGTCCAGAAAGAAGCAGGGTACAACATTAATAATCGCTAATGCTGCCGAAAATACTGTAATATATTTGCAAAGTAATGTTAACGATTCGGGCAAATTAGGATATACAAAAGCGTATTTTGGCACCCAATCCGATATGTCAACGGATCTGTAAATTTCTGGCGGATAGCCAAAAAATAACACGTCCTTACCTTCTTTTCTCTTTATTTGTACAATCTAAAAGATAAAAGACAAGAGATATAAAAATTATCGATAGAAAATTTTTCATAAAAGATAAATTTTAATAATACACAATTTTACAAAAGAATTTATTATGTGTTGCTTACCTTTGTTACATTATCTAATGAGGGTCTCATACAATGAGTATCTTGAGATAAACATTCGTGACTAGCTTGACAAAAATTATGTGATTGATTAATCATTGTCCTTGCTGGAAGGCAAGAATGTGGAGGTAAATGAAGAGGAGCAGCTTGCGGCCCTTCAATATATTCAAAACACAAACTGCCACTTGTTTCGCTGTCGGTTGTACAACAATTCACAATACCGTTAGTCTTCTGTTTAGCTGGTACTGACTCATCATAATCCTGGCGATATCGTTCAAGATAAAATGTGTATAAAAAATATTTTTAACACGTTTTTTTATGCAATTTAACAATTCCAACTTTTATAAAAATGTTAACAACAGTATTACCTGGATGAATGATTGTTTGACACAATAACCAAGAGCTGGATGTTGCACTGCATGCAATATGCAGTCATGCCAGTCTTCACTATTACTTACAGGACAATCATTTAACTTGTATATAACATCATGTTCCAAGAGACCAGCTGGTCCTAATAAAGGTGAATCCTACAAATAAGAGAAATAAATCATCGAACAATAATAATAATATACCTGGTATATACTTTCATCACTCACTGGCAAAATAGTTTTTACATAAACTCCAGAACCAAGATTGTAAAGTGGTGACCATAGCCATGTAGAAAATACAAGAATTGCTGCAGCTACTGTAGCAAGAATAATATTATGCCAAATGCCTGCGCATGTGACACGTAACTGATTTCTCAGTGGCAATGAGACTAGTTGTTCATTGCTTAAGTGTACATAAGCTATTGGAATTATGAAAATAATCAACATTCCTAAACCAAACAGCTGTACATCTTCTCTTGCTGCAGCAAGGGCATGTCCTAATTCATGGACTATACTGCATATTGCTAATGTTACTATGTAATAGCCAATCTCATTGAATGGAACATCCACACCTGGTAACTGGAAAATATACAGACTAATAAAAATAAAATAATAACAGTGTAAAAAACATGCATAAACTAAGAAAATATTTTCTATTTAAAGATCCAAATAATTTCATGTTTGCATATCTTACAAATTTAAAAAAATTTCTTGAAATATACATCTATTTCCTTCAAAGTTATACCATAGGTTCTAACACAGCCCCTGAATTAATATTGTCTGAAGATCCAGCCAGCCACATATTAAATGTCATCTTCAATATAATACAAGTAGCTATTGGCAGAAGTATGATGCTTATTATAGCACCAGCACTGAACCAAGCAGTCCAAAATCTTGAGCGATCCATTCCCCATTTTATTATTTTGCGATTGAAAGCAGTTGTAAACCACTTTATTCGAAATATCTGGACTTCTAAACCAGTGTTTTCCAAAAAATACAGATATGGAAAATGTGAACAGGACTGAAAAGCAAATAGTCTGAATTAAATATTTCATGATCTTTTATATGTTTATATAAATAGATGAATATACATAAAATCATATATAATCTTCATATATTAGAGCACTGAATGAATATAAAGTGAAATTTTGTGTGACATTGTCTAAAAGAGAAAACAACATATAAACATTAAGTACCTTACCTTAAAAAGTGTATCAAAAAAGAATAACGAACAGTGTATCAGAGCTATCACAATTAATACGCCTAAAGCATCCATTGTTTATTTTATTTCAATCTGGATGTTTTTGAAGACAGTTTCATTCATAACTACGTCATTACGAACGGCTAAGAAATTAAAAATCACGCACTGCACGTATATATGTATGCATGTTGCACATGTATATACAACATACATATACGTTATTGATATACATAATATATTTCACAGTCACATATAAATACAGTATACTTTTTAGCAGTAAGATTAAGACGCATTTGTGAGAATCAATGATGTGGTGTTAAAAGCCGGTGGCCAATGTCCACAATGCTCATATCGGACTCATGCATTTTACACACTTATACCGCTCATACCGACAATCGTCGATTTAGTGTCGCGTTGCGCAGTTATTTCAGGATATGAATATCTGCGCAACACACGTCTCGAACCGACAATTGTCGGTACGATACGAGTGTACAGAATACAGTCATGATCAGTTTACAAGTGTATATTCACAAAAGCCCCAGAACTGACAAATCACGTTACTGATCTTTAGTAACTAGCTAGGTTCGCCGGTTAGATGAGGCCGCTGCAAACACTGGTAACTAGAGACCCATAGTGGCCAAGATGCGTGTGCTGAATAAACGATTCCACGTTTGTTGATACTATGTAAACTCTGTTTCTGTAATCTAGACTTACATATCCATACGGTTTATTCATACATCGTAGAAAAATGTCTAATTACCAATTATATAGGAATACCACATTGGGGCACACGTTGCAAGAAAGTCTCGATGAATTGATTCAGGTAAATATACTTGTGTAATAATAGGTTGGGATGATTTAACCAATATCAATTTTTCTATTGAGTACATCTATGTGTGTGTATTGCAGTATGGACAAATTACACAACAGCTTTCGCTAAAAGTATTGTTACAATTTGATAAATCTATTAATCAAGCTCTTGCATCAAGAGTTAAATCCAGACTGACATTCAAGGTAAATCATGTCTAAGATAAGTTTCACATGATTAAGTTATATTAACTAAAAATATTTAAAAACTAAATATTTGTTTATTATAGGCTGGAAAATTAAATACATATAGATTTTGTGATAATGTATGGACTTTTATGTTGAATGATGTTGAATTTCGTGAAGTTCAGGAGGTTGCAATAGTTGATAAAGTAAAAATTGTCGCTTGTGATGGGAAAAGTAAGTATATAAATTTTGCCATTTTATGTATATGCATAACACATTTTTTTACATGTAAAATGTTTATTAGTTTTATTTTTTATTCAAATTTTATAATAATTCTTCTCAGCATTGGATGCAGATGGAGCAGCAAAACGATAACAAATGCTATAGTTTGCAGCATTTTTATCATAGCATAATATTAATAATTATTATCAAGCATAATATTAAGTTTTCATTATACCAGAGCAACCAAAATATAATTAATATAAACATAACATAAGCATACATATATAAGTAGTAATTATTTTCCTATAAATATATTTTCCTATAAATATATTGCAAGTATTGACATTGGCAGCTAACATCAAGCAGTTGAATCTTGTAACTTCTCACGTGTGTAATTTTTACTGTGTATTAATTCTGTTTACACTTGTTATGTACACGAATACTTATGTACAATAATTTTTAATATTGTAATAAAACAAATTAGGAGTATATATCAATTAGAAATATGTATATATCAATTGCATAAGTCTCTATCTAAATTACTTTTTGTTATCTAGAAAAAGACATTATTTTTAATAAGATTATAATTGCTTCTTGGATTTATTCTAGCGACTAGAGTTGCACGTGAGTTGCATATTTTATGTTTTCTCCAAAAATATTCTCATCCACAAGCGCCACATTTTGTGCACATGAACTACATAGCATGTTCACAATCCAGTGGATAAAACGCTATGTCTACAATTTGGTTCTGTTTCTTACTATGTTGACGATTCGTTTTTTAAAATTTTTGTTAGCAATCTTTGTTAGTAAAATGTTGTGCAACCACTACCGTTTAGATGTTTTTACTGAAAACAAAACGCACTAATATATCATTTATATTAATTAAAATATTTTCAAATTATCTACCAATGGTAGAGATTAGCAGAGAATTTAAAAAGTTTTGTGTTTGCTTTAGAGACATTCCAGACTTATTTTACAATCGCTCTCTACCTTTCACTATATATACTATATTGTTATCCTTTCACTCAGCATTTCGCGAAAAGAAAGAAATAAAAATAGAGAAAAACGGTGATAACGTATCCGAGTAACAAATAGCGCAGACAATTTTACATCTGTACAAATATCAAATATTAATAACACAAATACAACGAACGCTTTTTCGATAAAAGTGGATTTATAAGAACAAGTTTTATTTAAATGTAAATCGAGTAACTTGTGAGACATACATTTTTTTGCTTCTGACATTACGTGACGTTACATTTCGAGAATTTCGCGAGAAGTATCCGCGCGGGAGTCTTAAATATCAAATTTTATTTCCTATATAAATATATATGTATAAAAGTGATTACGCTTTAGGATTTTGATACACGGGAGAACAGTTCAAGCATCGGCCGTTGCCAGGGCAATGAATCGTAGATTGACGCAGGCGTCGCGACGTCCGGCCGTACGCACATACCCCCGTTTTACACTCTCTTTCTCTCCCATTGAAACGTTCCACTGCTTAAAGCATGTACATTGCCCGATCCCGTTCTCTTCTCTTCTTTTTCGCGTAACACATGTAGTTGAACTCGCAAAGTTCTGCTGCATTATATGATAATTCGGACGGGAAAATTTCGTCACGCAAAAATATTGATTTTACAAACTCTACACCCCTTTTGATCAAATTTGGAATCGATGTCCAATTATTATCTCACGGTTTTATTTCATTACAAAGAGACATGTGCGCTTTGCGTGTTGCGACATTTTCACACATTTCATTCCCCATGAGCCCGCGATTTATCTCTTGAAGAATGTTTGGAGTCCGAGATTCCGTCTGACGATGGTGTCGTATCTCATTGCAAAAAGTTATTTTTGCTTGGTAATTTCATTCACATACATACGTACTTTCTCTTGGATTGTTATTGTTATATTCGTCAAGCGCGTAAAGTGCTTTTAAGGGAATCTTCATCATTAGAGAAAAATTGATTAACAAAATGGTCTTGAATGTTGCAGCAGGTACTTGTATACTTTTAGAAAACTTGGCGCATAAAGTTTTAACGCGAGTTTTGCGATTGATTTTAAATTGAATTCATGTGTATTTAATGGGAAGTTGTTAAACGCGTATAAAATGAGATCGGAGTGTCTCCGATATCGGGATGCTGTGTTGAGAATTATACGAAATAGAAGTTGGTACCAACATATGCACAAATATCATCTTCAAATTATGATATTTTATTTTTGATGCAAGTATGTGATTGTATGTGTGTGTATCTTTTTGAACATTTTACAAAATCTTGCAACGCGTGTTCGCGCATATATATGCGACCCATTAAAACTGGAGAGTTAGCCAATTCCAAATTATATATTTTAATGTTAGTTATTGTTAGGAGACAGCATTGCAAACATATATCGTTCTATTTCAAAGTTTGCATCACTCCTAGACGGACGTTTTGCGAATTGCTATTACATTAGAGTAGTGTGCATCCCCAGGACGAGAAGCAAACAGAGAAGAAAGAAGAAGGTAAGGGGAGAGGAAAGAGGAGAAAAAAAAGAAAAAGAGAAAGAAAAAAAGAGAAAGAAAGAAGGTAGAAACCACGCACGCGAGATATATATAGCGTATGTCGCGGGTAGCGTCGTCGTTGGCTCGTCGTGCGCGGCGGGTTGGGGTTGGAAAAAGTTGGATGAAACTTGGAGGAGAAGTGGAAAAGGAAGCGCAGGATACATATAGGGTGGAAAAGGGGGTGGCACGCTCTACACGGAGACGAAGAGGAGAATCGGAATGAAAGGAATAAGAGAAAACGGGGGTTGGAATCTGGAAAGAAGAGGGAAGTTCAGTGCGGAGATGCGCCGTAGGCAACACATTGTCGGATTGATACTCTGGTAAACGTGAAAGCGCGCCGAAGGTGATCGCGACGGGGTTGATAGTAGTAGTAGCAAACGGCGATATCGGTAGCGAGGGTGACGGTGGTAGTAGTGGTGGTGGTGGTGGTGGCGGCGGCGGTGATGGTAGTGGTGGAGCAGCGTGTCTCGATACATCGAGAAAGTTTCATCGAGAAACGGCGGTGCGCGCAGAGTGTGAGAACGCGAGGCGGCGAGAAAGAGGGCCAGGGAGAAAGTTGGGGGTGAGTGGAAAGCGCGCGGAGGGAGCGGGACAGAGTTTGGAGCGAGAGTCCGGAGGACAGCAACGCGATGCGGTGGCAAGGTTTTCGTCTCCAGTTCCCGCTAAGCGGCCGACAGGTTTGGAACGAGCGCGGACCACGGTGGCACACTCGCGCGCAACACGCGGGCTAGCGTGTTATACCCTGTTTCTGTATATAGTACATACATAAGTACATAGAATACATAGCGTGCACGTGGAGTGGCGATTGAAGTTGCGCTGAAAGGAGAGAGACAAGACACCACACGTGGACACGTGCCACCTAACGATCAGAAACTTTGACGCGGACTTCTTTAATTACAAGATCGCGCGGCTAGTTTAAGAATTAAAAACGCATAAGAAAAGCGCGAACCGAAATCACTGACGCGGTTTTACACATACTACCGCGACGATCGAGTTCACGCGTGGCACTACGGGCCACGAAGAGTCACGAGCGAGCGAGCGCGGTCGAGCGCGCAACCATCCTCCCACCGCGTCCGCGCGTATTCTCCTTCTTCGGCGTGTCCTCCTCCTCCTCCTCCTCTTCTTCCTTCTCCACCTTTACCGGCTCTTACTCTCATTGCTTTCATCTCTCTCTTCCTCGTGTTCTCTACCCCTAGTGAGATATTGATTTCCCTTAGCTGACTCCCACGAGGGCAGGCGGCAGGCAACCAGGTACGGCTACCATGCCACGAGTAGACAGTTTCCGACAATTAGAAAGAAACCATCATATATATATATATATATATATGTGTATATATATACATTCGAGAGCGAATCAATCTTTGAACGAATGGCATCGTCTTCCTTTTTCATCCGCATAATAAAACTTATATGTCTTTGCTCGACTCCCCACGGCACGAATGAGCATTCTTTCGCCACGTGTTTTGTGCGCTCGCGCTAATGTCTCTCCGAGATTGCTGTTTGAATTTTTAATGACAAAAATAATAAACGCACTAGTTGCTATAGTGCATAAGTGAACTTTGAAGAGACGTATAGTCGGCTTTTTATCATTTCTTTTATATAAAAGTTAGTCATACAAGCACACATAATACACACAAGTGTAGACAAACTTTTTGCACTCAGTCATCATTAAAAATACGATATAAATAGTCTGCAATAAATTTATGCGCACGCTAAATCACGCATCAACATAACAATGTGATTATAGATATGTTAAGCAATTATTTATTACGGTGCGTGTATTTTATTTTCAAATATCATGTTTTACGAGATTTCTGAGCAAAACGCTCTTAATACTTAACGGAATAGTCGCGCGCGTTCGCTATTCAACTCGCTGTGGAAAGTTATTAGTTTCATATTCTACAACCATCCCCTTTCTCTCTTTCTCCGCCCCCGGTCTCTCGCGAGTAAGCGCTTTCCGCGTAACTGTTTGATAATCTATAGATATTTCGTCAAAGTTTTGCAAATTACGCGGCCATGTTGGTGCCTGCGCACTGCCGACGCGGACAACGCGAGTGTGACATGAAAACTTTTTTATTTACTGCGTTCGTGCTCACTCGCAAAGAAGACAAAAGATGGATGAAGGGGAAGAGTTAGTCCGGTGGCGGGCGCGCAGAAGAACCGTATCCCCTACTTAAGGTCTACCTATCCTGTATGTATATATATTCGCCAACCTCTCGCCACCCCCACCAGACTACTGCCTGCCGCTTTCCAGCAAAGTTTTCCGGAGATCCTTCTCTGGGAAACTGCGAGAGAAACGACGAGAGTGAGGAGGGGTCGCGTGCGCGCCCAATGGAGGGGAGAAACTACGATCGCTCACCCCCCGTGCACTCTCGCTAGCATCCCCTTTTCAGCAGATTCTAACCTAGTAACGAGTTTACTCTGTCGGTAACGCGAGGACGCGTGCCAAACGATAAACGTGTGTGTCGCGTGCCTGCTGCGCTAACAGAAGAAATGAGTAAAGTGGAACACAACGCGAGATACAATTATCGCGAGATGACTTGGAGTGGCGTGACGACTGCGAAAGTTCAGAGATGTACAGAACGTGATAACGTGTAAATCACGCGGATAATTTGGCGCATCGCGAGGGTTTAATCAAGACGCGCACGAGGTATGATTTAATCGCTCTTAGTAAAAGTAACATTTAAGATAGTCCGAGTTGAGTGACAATGCGCCGCGCACGTGTATATTGTGCATCGATATCTCGTTGCTCAGTTTACAATTGTTTTTGTTTTCGTGCGTCTTTTACATCGCTAATTTTCTTAGGAAACAAATTGAAAACTAATCTTGGGAGACAACAATATTTTTTCTTACATTGATAATATGAATGTGTAGTTCTTTCTCGTTTTTTAAATATTTTTTTATGATTTACTGATGTAATATTATCACATCGTTACTATAAAAGTTTTTGTTTGAATTTTTATATTTCATCCCCGCGTCATAATTTCGCAAGAATTCTATTCCAACAATGTTTTAGTTCATTTCAATCTTAATTACTTTGACAATTTGCTATTTTAATTTGATTTAGCACGAAACGCACAAATAATGAGTTATGCTCAAAGTTTCTAGGTTGTGCGCGCGATAATAGTTGGATAAATTCTATATATGTATAAATATATACATGTCGCTGCAATTTAGGGTCAGCTGATTGCCCGTTAGTCGCGGCATATAATGCTGTTTGTTGTGACAGTATCAACGCTTTTGATTATTGGGATTCTGCGCGCGCAGACTCAATGCGAGATTAATTCTGTGCGAGAAAACCCCTTTCACTACGAACTTACAAACACCAATTCGTTGTACACGCGCGCACGCGCGCATACATACACACACACACACACACATGTACAAAAGTTTCGCGAACGTTGAAAACTTTTACGCTCCTCTTTTGTAGTCGATCGAATTCTATCGGAAATCTAAAACCAATGTATACCGACGGATTTGACGAGTAAAGATTTTTAATTGTACGAGAAATTTATTGTCATATCTATACAATCTTTTGTTCGCGTGATAATCGATAAAAATTTAATAAAAATTAACAATTAAAAAAAACTATTCTTACATAAAGTGTAAAATTCGCAATGATTAGATTAACATGTGATCTGTTTCACAATCAAGTGCAACACTCAATATGTACATACATAAAATATACTCGCGTATACACATGGAGTCATCTCTTTAGATATTTACCATAGAATCTCTTTTATATTGTTTTGCCTCAATGTTTAACTTACATTGCACTTCTATTGTGAAACACGTTTGTCTCATTCGCGCTTAATATTACGAAAGACACTCGCACTCTTTGAGACGCATTTCTCTCTCTCTCTCTCTCTCTCTCTCTCTCTCTCTCTCTCTCTCTTTCCCTCTCTCACGCGCGCACATATGAAACACATTATAATTAAACAATATTCCGACCGCTGCAGTTTAATAGCATGTATATGATGACAATTCGATGCACGGCTAGGCAAAGGGAGTCTGATTAAGCTACTATCATTCCCGTTTCTCGCAGTGTAATTCTGCGTTGTTGACATTGCGCTTTGAATTTCACCGAGTGTTGCGGCTCGAGCGCTTTTGGAACTTCCCAGAGCGTGGCCCGAAACCTTTTAATCCCGATTCTACGCATATACGCTTTGTCGTCTTCGCGGTCGACATTGTTGTCCGCGTTCGCGTCGTACGTAATCCTAACCCGTTTTCTCTCCCGTTTTCTTTTTCTCGAGCAGGTATTCAAAAGTTTACACATTGTAAGTTGATTTCACGCCTTGTTTTGTATCCCTTCACATAAACGCTGCCGCATTATCTCGCTCAAGCTTTGTATATTGAATTTCGCAGTGCATTATGAGATACATAAAATAGCATCACGGGGGAAAAAAAAAGAAAACTTGTTAATTGCACGCGTGTGTAAAACCGCGAGACCTTTTAATTTCTGTATTCGAAAAAGAATACGGTTTTTTTTCTGTTGAATATAAAAGTAAGCTATTTTCTTGAAAATACGAATAAAAAAGAATTTGTTCTCTTTGCATTAATATTTCGCGCGCGCGTGCGCGCAAAAGTACTTTAATTTAATTATCAACAATGTTACAGTTTATGCAACGGTTCATATCTGTGGAGAACAATTTTCTGAACAGATTTCTATTTATTACAATAACGCGTTTGCGGATAATGCTTTGTCACGTGAAAATCGTCTCGATCATTAAGATCTTTGTTTGCCGGAAAGACTGACGTTTAAAAGTGAACGATTGCGACGATATCTCAAACTTGGGTATCCGCTCGGTAGTCGTCGCCGTGCTGACTCTCGGCGAAAAGATTGAGAGATCGTCGAGAATTTGCGGATATCGGAACTAAAAGACGAATAAAAGATAACGGAGAGCCAATCGTATAATGATAATAGCCACACAAAACTAGTTGATTTAGCACGGAAAAGCGAATATCCGATCTCAACTTTTTAGTTTGAACAACGTAAGAAGAAAAATATTGAAAAAGGAAAAATAAAGCATTAATACAATAAATGAAAATCAATAGATTTAAGTGAGAATCTTTGATTGCATTGAAATGTCGAAGAAGAGAAATTGATTTATAAAAACCAATTTGTTTCAAAAGTTTCGTAATCATCATAAATTGCAAACAGACGATACACAAACGTTCGGTTAAGGTGATGATTTCGATAACTGTCTTCAGTCTCTCACTCTCAATCGGAGTTGCAGCATCGGAGTTAGCTCCACTGTGGTAGCGAGAGCGGGAAAGTTTACGCCGTAAACTTCGGGTCTTAAGGGTGGAATTATAGTTTGGCGGAGCAGGCGCCGTGCCACGCAGTTGTTACCACGACGAGCGCTTTAAAAGTTAGTCCCGGCTCTTCGTGTGTTGGTTCATGGAGGAGGCGCAGGGAAGTGGATTTTGACGGGGATGGGGAAGGCGGGACGACGTGAAAGAAGCGAGAAGGGAGGGGTGGAGGCGCGGTTAAGTTGCCAGGAAACTTTGGTAAAACTGAAAAGTTAATTTTGTCGTGTTAAATTACTCGAGCGCCCGAGCATTAAACTTGCAAAAGTTGGTCGAATGACTGAAATACGTATCTTCTCTGTTTCTCCCTTCGCTCCCTTTAATTCTCCTTCTTTTTTCCTCTTTGCTTTTGATTGTGTTAAATGATCTAAGAAGCGAAAATATAGTGAAATTTGATTGCTTGTTCTAAAGTAAAACGTTACGGAAAAGAGAAACACTACGAAGCACGGTGAAGTGCTGTTTGATAATAGATTTAAATTCATAAAGTATATTACACGTTTAAATAACTATTAAAGTAGACTATTACAGAGCGGGAATCCGTAAATTCATGTAAAATCCGTTAAACGAATCTATATATATTACGTATATGTAATGTAATCGATCAAATTATATTTAATTCTCAGGTCATGTTCCAATTCAGCTGAGATTCGAGAAGCGTAATTAGATGACGCACATTTATAGATATATTTCAAGGCTAGATAGATATGTGTATCACGCTATACTTATTATGCTATAAAATACTCGACAATTTTCTAGCTTATCTTTACAATCGCGAAACAGTCCGGATATTCGATATTTGAATAGTTCGAGCTGGGATTTAGCGAAATCATGGTCACGTCTGTGTAGTAGTGTGAGCATGCGCTTCCATTCTGTTTCCCTCCTCGAGTTGGTCGTCCGTCCTTGTCTCGGAAAAGTTTTCAGTGATGAGCTTTGTTTGGTCGTTTTCCCAGCAGGACGGAAAAGTTAAATGCGAAAGTTCTATCCGATATCCACTACCCTCCGCGCACTTGGAAAAAGGTGTCTACGCACATGGTTACGCGTTCGAATTGTCGTGTGATTACTGTACTCTACAAAATTGCTTTTTGCAAGAAAAGATAAAAATAATAAAAAATTGCTATACATTATTATATAAAAGATTCTCTCGGCGTGCGAGTATAAAATATGATAAGTGATATATGTAACATGTTTTTAGAAAATACGACTTGAAGTTTTGCCAAAATCTAAAACGAGATTTTTAAATGGAGAAAATGTCACCATATTCTTGGAAGAGATTGACAACAGTTTTATGTTTATTCAATGTGTCGGTAATACGTGCAAAATTGTATAGAAACTATATTTGTATTTTTACGAGAAAACAAATAATTTTTCATTAAAGGACAGATTTATCTGTTAATACAGAATGGCATCCAGAAATCCAAGACAAAATCATTCGATACAACATCTGCTCGAGTTGCCGTCAAACCGACAATCGAAGTTACCGCGGTTTTCCGAAAAAGAACACATCCAACAGCCACCACCCATGCCGCCTACTCCTCGTCAAGTCCCGGTGACCGTGTTGCACCCCTCTCCAAAAAAGGTAAGTAGGACACTTGCTGATGCACACGATATGCTTACTTGACAAACAAGTAGACAAAAAAGTGTTTTTACACTTAATAAATATTTTTTGTATTAAAACAATATAATAAAAACACACTACTGGAAGACAATCTTTTGGCCGGTCAAATAAAAGTAGTTTTATTGCAAAAAAATAAAATAACTATTGGAGTTATTACAAAAGTGAAATTACTACTATGTGTGCCATCTAGCGTAAGCAAGTAGCAAAAGTACGTCGATCATGTCCAACAAAACTGTTTGTACGAAAACTGTTTTCCGACTATTTAGAAACTTACATTATTGTTATAGCTCAATTTATAAATGAAAAATAAAAGTAAAAAACGCGATTTATTACGCAATATAAATTTTCAAAATATTGATTAAAAACTTAATTTCCATAGCCCTTGATGAGATATAAAAATATAAGAATACAACTTGCCTTGCGTGTGTATAATTCTAACAATGTATTTAAAATTTAAATAATGAAATTTAATAGAATAAGAGAGAAAAAAATTATTCTATTTTGCAATGATGTTATTATTATTTCACGTAGAAAATAATTATCAAGATATTATTATAGTTCGTTACGAATGTACAGAGTGGCAAAAATATGAATTAATTAAAACTCTTTTCTTTTCTTGTTCTGTTTCAATTTTGTTACACACACACAGTACGGCACTTTTTTTTATATCTTTTAATTCTTCCACTTTATCTGACAGAATACCAGAAAGTATAAAACAAGACTATAAATTTACTGCAACATAAAAAGATGTGATCTACAAGGAACGTAAAATGAAACGATTGTGACGGCATAAACTGCTGACATTTTAAGTTGTCAGAATAGCGTTTTATCGATCATTTCTTATATATACAGAATATAATTGTTACTTGTGTAAATATTGACTAAAAAACATTTTAAAATCTCTAACAAAATTTTCTACACTTTATTGATATAATTAATATAATTATCTATTTTCTCATTAATATTACTTTCGATCTTATACACTTTGAAACAAAAAAGAAAGATTGAAAGAAGAAAGAAGAGATATAATCTTTTAAATTCGTTTACAGACAAATTGAAATTATAAAAATTGTGCAAAATTTATATATTAAACATTTTGTGTAATTTTATTTCGGCGATCGATAAACAGTGTCGGTAAGGCGGCTTCACCACTGACAATACAAAGGAAAAGAAATATCGTCTCTTATTCTCAACTCTACTACAGTTCGCGAATTATTTAGGCTCAGATATTTACACATTTGTAAAGTTATCTGTTTATTTTAATGCCTCATAACAAATTTATTGGAATTATATTTAAATTGATGGATATATAGTTATAAATTAACGATTGTTTTAAATTATTATTTCAAATCTCGTTTTCTTTCTTTAAAAAAAGATCAAAAGTATTATTTTAAAATATTTTTATATTTTATCGACTGTGTATATCTCATGTAATTTTATTACCGACCGACGAAACAAGTTTATTTCCTCTATGTCGATTGAGATGCCGACAGTGACTGAAGTAGTTTTAATCGATAAAGGAACAGCAGTTGTCGACGAAATAGAGCTCTTCTTTAGCAAGATAACATAACACTTGTTAATTAAATATTTAATTTAAAAATATTTGTTTTTTATTTATAGAAAATATGAGTATAGAATAATTCAGTATATGCATACACAAAGAGCTGGATTCTCTATGCCTAAAGAAACAACTGCTCATGTTTTAATAATTAAGAGCAAATAATAATTATAAAATTCAATATTTATGTGAAACGAACATGTTAGAAAGGTAAGGAAAGAAGAGTCGGAGGGAGAAAGAAAAAGAAATGTATGAATATATAAATAATGTGATGTGAGATTTTTTTTCTATTCCTATTGTTTAAAGTACAAACTTACATATTCCAACTTTTAAAGATAATAAATTATCTATATCTATAGAATATAAAACGCGATATAAATGCGCAGAGAATATTAAATATTGTAAAAAGTTTTGAACAAAGTGTTAAGACATACTTTGCCATCGAAATTCTACAAATGGAACTAATTCGGAATCGTCTTGAATATATGCAAGGTGGCAGGTAGGGAACTGAATTTATGATAATAGCATAAATCAGAGCTTTCCTCCACAATAATCATAATTTATTGAGATAGTTGCGTTAGTTAGCTATTGAGTGAAGTTAGCTATTTAGCCATCGGCAAGGACCGACAGAAGGAGCTCGAGGGGTTGCATGGTTTTGAATAAGATAAAGTCTTACTGAGATTGAAGATAAAAGGGTTATATTTTCACTAGAGCTAAAGAAGAAGAATTATATTTTCACTTTTACTTTATTCGAATAATTACAGATTGGGACATTGTTATTACCTAATGGAAAGTACAATATATTTTTATATATTTTTAATGTACGTATATTTGACGTGACAATTGTTCTCATATTTAATTGGTCTGATATTCTTGTGACAATTTTAAAAATTGTTTTTATTGCAAAAAATATCGAAAACACGCTAATGATCGTATTTAACGCTGTGTTACGTCACATAGTGTCATTATCGCGCACATATGTATGCAGTATGTATGATATATACAGGGTGTCCCAGAATTGCCGTACAATCTCTCGTAGGCAGGTAGAAGGAATAAAACTGAGTCGAAAAGTCCTGAACCATTTT